TCGACGACTAGGTAATAATCATGTTTACTTGGTCACTCCTTAAAAATTTAGTATGAGACTAAAAAGGTGTTCATACAGCGCCTGTTCACACTAGATTAAATGTGGCGGGGAACATTCGGCCTGGACCGACTAGAGTCTCTAGCCTTAAAAAAAAAAACAAGGCAGGTAGGAAACCACCTTCCTACTTGGATCGCTTAAAGTGGCCGACTGATCGCTTAGCCTGGAAACAGACAACCAGTCGTCCAGGGGCATAGGTGGCGTGACTAACTACCTCGTACCTGTCCGCAACTATCGGCCATGCAAAACAGTCGGTATAAGTATGCAATTGGATATCAGAGTTTCGATACTTAACAAATTCAAAACGAAACAAGTAGGAACTGGCATAAACATTCATACCCCCGGCCCCTTGGCCGGGTAAAAGATACAAAAAGAAGCCGGTCATTAAGACTGGCAAAATATTTAGAACCCTGGCCCCCTGGCCGGGTAAATAGAAACAAACGGCACGCAGGCCGTGAAAAGAAGACATAAAGCTTAAGAAGGGGGCAGATCTTCAATAGTAGCAGCTGCCGCCTGGTCAGCACTCTTTTTGTTGGACTCGGCTTTAGCTGCATCCTTCTTCGATGCATCCCCCCAAGCGGCACAAGCGCCACTACCGGCTCCTCCTCCTCCAACACCTCGTCCTCAGCAGCCGCCAGGATCTCTTGATTATATCTATCAGAGCACTGGCGGTACGTTTTTTCCCAGGAGGAAAAGTCGACATTGGGGAAGAGGCGGCCCCAGGTCAGGCGCTGGATCTGAGCAAAGTCTTCCATCATCTCTCGGACCAGCTCCTTCTTTTCTTGCTCGGCCTTTGCCGAGAGCTCCTGAGTAAGACTCTTCTCCTAGGTCACCAGGCGTTCCTTAACGTGCGCCAAGGATTTCTCCAAGGTGTCGTATGAGGACATTTTTTGGCGAAGAGGTCTTAGCTCGACCTTGAGATTGTTGATGGTCGCCTCCAGCTCATTATTTTTCTTCTGGGCCGCCTCTAACTAAGCCCGGATAGCAGAAGTAGCCTGCGCTTGATAATAAAGAATATCAATTGTCAAAACCTCATTTTGGGCAATTTGAAACATTGCCTTATCACAGTCAGAGGCGGCCATAGCCTTTGCAGCCTTTACCTCTTTGTTCTTCCTGTCAAGCGGCTTGCGAAGGCCGTTCACTCGGAGTAGGGCCTAAGTAAAAGGGAACAGGCGTCAGTTCTCAAACAAAAAACAGGCGTCCTGGAATTTAAATAACCAAAAATATGCTAAGTATACCTCAGCAAGGACCCCTGCAATCCTGTCTAGGTCAAGGGTGCCGACACCCCTGACCGCCTCCCTCTCAGCCGGAGGGACGACTTTGGTCATAGACTTGGCCACCTCGACCAAGTCCGGCTCCTGAGAGCCGGCTACATCAAGCATAAACAAACAAGTTAGACCTAGTAAAGAAGGGAGCAAGTCTAAATTCACAAGAACAGCTTCATACTTCTAGGCGGCCCGATTGGAGTTTTAGAAGGAGTGGACGGCTGTTTCTCAGCCGCCACATGTTTCCTGGCAGCACCAGGAGAGCCCGCAACAGTTGTCCTCCGGGTCTTGGAGTCCGGCTGTTGGGAAGAAGAGGCTCTTGGAGTGCCCGTCTAAAAAAAAAAAAAAAAAAACACTCGATCAGTATATGCATAAACCCAACTCCAAAAAGAGAGTGAAAGGTTTGGAGCTCACCAAGGGCGCCCCCTTGTTGGGGGAGTCGGTTGAGGATTGTTGCATGATGGAGGCTCGCAACATGGCCGCCGCAGTCTTGGAGGCGGTAATTTTGCTCATGGCGTCCGCTGCAAGAACAAATAGCAAAGTTAATAAAAAGTCATAAAAGTAATGCATGGAAAAAAAGAGTATTCGACAGGCCGGCTACCTCTTGAGCACCGACTGCTGAGGCCACAGGCGGCTTAAAAGTACTCGTCATAGAGCCATTTGAAGCTCGGGACGCAGTGCAGGGGTACCTGTTCTCGTACCCTTGTAGTAGAGTCGACCCTTGACTCTACTTTAAAGAGTCCTTTATCCAGGATCTCTTTCTTAGCTTTGGGGGGAACAGGCGGCATGCTGCGGCCGCCTGCAAGAAGAGGCGGATTCCTTTTCCACCTGTTGAAGCGCTTGTTCAGCTCTATGTCCGAACTTTCAATGATAAGGAAGGTGCTTCGCCAATCCTTCCACTTGTTTGCTTTACCTCTTGTCATGAGGTAGCCTCTGTGGCTCGTCAATTGATACCAGCCGGTACCGCCTGCCTTAGGGGTCCGGCTGAGGTAGTTCATGTGGGCGAAAGCCTCGAAGTTTGGCTCCACCCCGTGCAGTTCGCACCCGGCCACATAGCCGAGTACGTTGACCCAGGAGTTTGGGGCTAATTGCCATAACCCCAACTCATAACAATCCAAGATCCGCTGAACAGCCGGATGTAGTGGGAAAGCGCAGCCCAGCCCTGATGGCCGCCTCGTAGCAGCCAAAGCAGGCGCCATCATAACTAGTACCAGCCGGCCAGACGACAGTGTCTTCTGGATCCGGCACGAAAACTAAAAAGCCGGGGCCCATTGTGTGGTTCGCAATAAAGCTGCCCACTCTCTCTTGCATGGCCGTGATCCGGCCCCGTGGGACAGTGCAGTAGTAGGGGGTATTTTGCTCTCGGTAAGAGGCGGATGGCTGCGCCCAATTGTCCCCCTTCTCAACTGCGTGAGAAAGCCTCGCCTCTTATAGGCGGCTGTTTTTCTCTTCTGTGTCCAGAGAAGCATGACCAGAAGAGCTAGACTCGGATTCGTCCTCTGATGAGTCCGAAGAGGACGACTCCTCCCCTCTCCTAGAGGGGCCCGCCTTCTCTCCTTCAAAAGGAGCAAGAGAGAATGTAGACTTGTCAACTGTAAAATTGGAAGGGGTCACTTTGACTCCTCCCTCAGAACTGTCGGCTTTCAAGCCGCTTTGGTTCACTTCCACATCTGGTGCCTGGTCAGATGTTTCACTAATCGGCATCCTGTGGGAGGAGCCGTCTGAGTTCGAAATCCTAGCAGTTCTTTTTGTTCTGGCCATCATGTTCTGCATAGACACAGAGACAGTCGGACTTTGTATAAAGGGCAAAGATGGGTCCGGAAAAGGGCAGGCGGCACTCCTAGTCCTAGATTCAGCCGTCCCTGGTGACCGGCTGATCACTAACCTAGGTCGTGTCGTGTGCTTCCGTGGTGCCATTTCAAAAAAGAATAAAATAAAGAGAAAATTAAGAGTAAGAGAACCGACGGTTACCTGAACGAGTGAAGTTGACGGAGTTCTGGAAATCCTATGTAGTCGGCTTGTCAGAGCAGGCGGTAGGCAGAAAGGGTCCGAAATGTCAGAGCAAGTTCAGGGGTCCGAATGTTCTCTCTAAAAAGTTCTCAAGTGTGAAAATGACTGAAGTCAACACACCCTTATATAGGAGAAGTGAGAAGGCAAAGGGTCACTTCCAAAATTCAAAATTTGGGCGGGAAAATCTCTTGGCCTTTCGCCGAGTGACACATGTAGAAAGCCGTCGCCTGTCACGGTGCGACACCTGTCACAGGTAACACGTGACCAGTCACGTGCCACCTGTGAGGGGCAAATGATTAGGGGATTTTGCTCCCACCAATCGGAATGCGCCACGTGGGCCAATCAGGTCCTGCCAAGTGTCCTCCAGTTGGAACGGTCAGGGTTTGCCACGTGGCACACGCCTATTTGTCCACCCTGGACCTATTATGTCATGACACGTGGCATCCTCCATGCCTAATGGAAAAACCAGCCACCTAGGCCCAACTTCCAAGGGAAGCCTAATCAGCCCTAGGTTAACCTAAACCTAGGATTGGCACGTTTCCCAAGGTTATAAATACCTCCCTTAATCCTCATTAAGGGGGATGACGCACATTTAACACTCTCACCTAGAGAGACCTAATTACTTTTCCGCATTAATTACTCCTTAATCAAGTACTAACTTGACCGTCGGAGGCGGATCTCCAATCGTCCGGAGTATCCGTTTGTTTTGCAGGTACAGGCGTCCGGTTCCAGTCTCGGAATTGTAACTCTCCCGTAGGACATCAGAAAACCCCGAAACAACCGTCATACCTCCTTTTTTCGGCACTACTTAAACCGGGGATACCCAATCACTATGAGCAATTGGATAGATGATCCCTACTTCAAGTAGCTTGGAAACCTCTTTCCTCACAACCTCTTGCATGGAAGGATTAAGCTTCCTTTGCCGTTGCCTACACGACTTAGCACGCTCCTCTAAATCGATTTTATGCATGCATAGGGAGGGGCTTATACCCTTGAGATCATCAAGAGTATAACCCAAAGCCTTCCTATGCTTTTTCAAGACATTTAGCAATGAGGAGGTTTGCTCTTCCGTGAGGTTAGCATTGAAAATAACCGGGGAAGTATCATTAGCATCCAAAAAGACATACCTCAAGCCCGAAGGTAGAGGTTTCAATTCTACCTTCGGAGCTCCCTTACCATTGGAGATATCCTCCTTCTCTACCTTGAAGATTTCATGTGTTTGGAGCATCTCTTGGTCGGTGATTGTCTTCTCTTTCTCATTAAGTATTTCTTCATACAATTGCATCTCCTTTTGATCGCCTACTTCATTCTCATTCAACAAAACATTCTCAAGTAGATCATTAGAAGCATGCATATGAGGGTATCTAAACTCATTCATCAAATTTTCAATTGTATCTATTCTAAAGCATTCATTATTAGAGGAGGGTTGTCTCATTACCTTATTCAAGTCAAATTCAATAGAATCATTGTCAACCTTCAAGGTCATCTTACCTTCTTTGACATCGATGATCGCTTTAGAAGTAGCTAGGAATGGCCTACCCAAAATTATAGGAATTCTTTCATCTTCATCCATCTCAAGGACATAAAAATCCACCGGAAAGGTGAACTTACCAACTCTAAGGGGGACGTCCTCTACTTTCCCTATAGGCAATTTTGTGGACCTATCCGCTAGTTAGAGAGTGATGTTTGTAGGTGAAAGGCTTCCCACATTGAGCTTTTGGTAGACCGAGAAGACATTAAACTCACACTAGCACCTAGGTCACACAAAGCCTTCCCCAAATGGATCTCATTGATAGAACAAGGAATGGAAAAACTACCGGGGTCTTGCAATTTGGTTGGTAGCTTACTAGAGAGAATGGCACTACAATTTGCGGTTAGATTAACGGTCTCAACTCCTCTCTTTCCATTCAAAAGGTCTTTTAGAAATTTAGAGTAGTGAGGCATCTCCTTCATAGCATCCACAAAGGGTATAGAAATATGCAAGCCTTTAACTACTTCTAAAAACTTTCCGAATTGGGTATCAAGCTTAGACCTAGCAAATCTTTGGGGAAAAGGCAACCTCTCATTCCTAGGTTGGAGATTAAGGGGTAAAGGTGTTTGCTCTTTGGTGCTCTCCTTTTCGGGTTCCTTCTCTTTTTCTCTCTCACCCCTCTCATGCTTTTCGGCACTTCCTTCTAGAACCTCACCCTCTCTTGATGACTCATCCTCAACCTCAAGTCCTATCCCTTTATCGGAACTCTTCTCTACATTTAAATCACTCTCAAGGATCTTCCCACTTCTAGTGGTAATGGCATACATAGATTTGGGGTTGACACCTTGGCTAGGTAAAGAAGAAGAGGAAGAAGGGGAGGATGAAGAACTTAGTTGGGCAATTTGGGAGATTTGGGTCTCAAGCATTTTCATGTGTGCCTTAATTTGTTTCTTTTCCTCCTCTTGACTCTTGTTGTAGCTCTCTTGATTCTTGATGAAAGCTTGGAGCATGCCCATCATAGAATTCGGAGCGGCCTCAACTTGAGGAGGAGGTGTGTTAGAAATTTGGGCTTGTGGCCTAATTTGTTCAAAACCGGGAGGTCTATTTTGAGGCCTTCCATTTCCAGAACCGTGATTGGAATTAAAACGTTGTTGGTTGTTGGAATAGTGTTGTTGGTTTTGATTCCAATTGGGCCTTTGGTTTGAGTAACTTCTTCCATTGTAATTAGAAGAGTTCCCCTTACCTTGGCCTTGGTTATCATAACTACCACCACTTTGATTCCATTGATTTTGATTCCAACCTTGATTTTGCTTCCAACCGCGGTTTTGGTTTTGATTCCAATTTGGCCGCATTCCAACATTTCCCTCACGGGGGACAAAATTCATAGCATTAACATCTTCAACATTATCATCATCATTTTCTTGGGAAGGGCTTTGATATTCATTAATGGACATGCATTGTTCGGAATTATGGTCATAGTTTCCACATATATCACAAAACATACAACCGGGAGGCATAGCATTGTAATTAGAGGGAGAAGAAGTAGAAGGATTCATACCATGGCCTCTCTTGGTAGAAGGAGAGGAAGTATTTTGAGTGCTTGATTTCATGAGCTCCTCCATTTGTTTCGCCATCTTTGCCATTTGGTTGGAAAGATTTGTGATGGCATTGGTTTGCTCGATGGATTGCACCGTTCCTTTGCTTGAAGTGGCTTCTCTCTCACCTTCATACCAATCCTCATAATTCCGGACCACATCTTCTATTATGCTTTCAACTTCGTCCTCTCTCTTGCTCATAATAGGGCCACCGGCCCCGGCATCTAAACTTGTCTTGCTTTGGGGTGAAAGGCCTCCATAGAAAGTTTGAAGAATTTGGTAGTTGGGAATGCCATGATGAGGGCATTGTCTTTGGAGTTCCTTGTACCTTTCCCAAGCCTCACATAGAGACTCACCTCCCCTTTGGCGAAAGCTTTGAATTTTAGAACGAGCCTCGACAATCTTCTTATGATTATAGAACCTTGCCAAAAATGCCGTAGTAACCTCATTCCATGTTGTGAGAGAACCGGGAGGCACGTCATTATTCAACCAATGCTCGGCTACTCCTATAAGAGAGAATGGAAACATCTTCAATTGAATGTACTCTTGGGTTACTCCGTTGATCTTGATAGTGTCACAATACTTGAGAAATTCTTTAAAATGCTCATGTGGGTTCTCAAACTTACCACCCGTGAATTGCCTTTTTTCTATCAAGGAGATGAAGTTAGGCTTGATTTCAAAATTGTTTGCTTGGGTAGTAGGAGCTAGGATCCCACTTTGAGAGGTATATGGATCGAGTGCTCCAAGTTGCTTTAGTGACCTTTGATCACCCACGTTTCCTTGATCACCCATACTTTGTTGATTATGGTTATTGGCAAATGGGTTGGGATTTGAGCCTGTGGGTGATTCACTCTCCTCGCTTGAATTGGGTGAAGATGGGGTAGGGGAACTTCTCACTTCCTCTTGAAGTGGGTCTTCACCTCTCTCCCTTGCTTGTCTCCTCAATTGGGTTAGAGTATGCTCTAGCTCGTGGTCTATGGACACCAAAGGCCTAGAGCTATTAAGCCTCCTGTGCATATACAAAGCTAAGCAAAAAGTGAGCACTGAAAAGACACGGAAAAACAACAGAAAGAAACGAATGAACTAGTCTCAACAAGAAAATATACACACAATGGAAACCGTTTCCCCGGCAACGGCGCCAATTTGACAAAGGGTATTTTAGGTCGTTACTAAGACACCTCTATCAAATGATATTTGTGGTCCTAAACATGCAACTAAACGAGTATAGAGGCAAGTCAAGGGTCGAACACAGGGAAACGATTAAGCACTGCTATCTATCTCCTAAAGTTAATCTAGTTCGGTCAAGAAAAATAGTGGATGAATTAATGACTAAAGAGTATGTAAAATTAGTTAAAATAAATGCTAGGGGTAGGGGTCGAACATGCTATGAAGTCAAAGGAGCTAGGCTTAGGGAAGTAGGTTTACATGCAAACCAAGCAACTCATACAAGGCAAAGTCAAGAGTACTCTCTAATCACCTATCGGGATTAAGAGCTTTCCTAGTTAACATGCACTTACACTATCGTCATAAGGCATGCAATACTAAGGTTAGACAATAATCAATCACCCAATAACTATTCCTAAATCACACTATCGTCATGATTTAATTCAAGTCACTCAACCACAACATGCATATGGCCATAAACATGGAGTAGCCAAAAAGTATAGGCGCAAGGAAGATTTAATTGCAAGTATTCCAAACTAGCCTAGCCTATCATACATCAAATTCAAAGCATGTCTCCACCAAACCCCTAGCAATAAGAAAACTACTCACAATCCATAACCCTAACTACAATTACACTAATCAAAAAAGTAATTAAGAAATTAATGAGAGAGATGATAATTTCACCAATTAAACCAACAAAGATGGGAACTTTAAGCATATAACAAAAGAATAAAAAGAAGAATACCAATAGTTTCATTCAATACCAAGTGAGATGACAAACACCAATAGAGTTCCAAAATGCTTCCTCAAAATACCCAAAGTAGCTAAAATTGATAAATTGAAGATCTACACTAAGATCTATGGAAGAATTTCCAACACAAGAAAGCTAAAATCTATGCTAAGAATGTTCCTCTAAAGAGTATGCTGAAAGTTTCAATATGTGAATAATGAATGCTACCTTCTCTCTCCTCTTCTTTGCTTTTTAAATCTGATTTCAGGTTACGGACCGCAGCAGACAGGCGCGCCCACGCTGCACAACAGTGCGCCCGCGCGCTAGATGGTGACGCGGCCGCTCCTCAAGAAGCGCGCCCGCTAAAAAATGGGTGTCACAGGATTGGGCCAGCTCAGCGCGCGCCCGCGCCAGGAAGTGTCGCGCGCCCGCGCCCAAGGTGGCGCGCCCGCACCTATAGTTGCGCGCCCGCTCCAAACTGCTGGTTCAATGCTTCGATCCTTGCTCTGGCTCCTTGTCAATTCGAACCGCAATCAATCTGCAATTACAAAATAGGAAGGCGAAGCGTAATACAACAAAGAGGGAGGGGAGCAAAGCCTACCTAAACCAAATAAAAACACATTACACAACACATAGGTAGACTGCTTAAATTAGGCAAAACATAACAAAAGCACACTAGGATGAACCGAATTATTGCTAAAACTACTAGAAAGAACTACCCTAGGAGTGACATAAATATCACTCATCATCTAGTCATGATATATTATGCAAAATACCAGAAAAATAAGGTTTTATAGTATCTTAGGTTCGCCTAGCCGCATGATACTATGTTCGCAAAAAACAGAGTACGTAGTACTAAAACGGAGCATAATTTCGATTCAAGCATAAATGGCAATTTTTCAGCAATTAAACAATTTCTTGTAATACTATGACAAATATTGTGACAAATTTGACAAGAACGGCTAGCAAAAACACGAAGAACAAGTCACATTGTTCTCATGAACTCAAGGGGTTCAACAATGGCAATTCGTTCATTTCTTTACCAAATTGAGAAAACAAGTCTCAAAATGCTCTAAACATGATATATAAACATAATCCAACAATTTTAAGGCATAAAATTCGACAAACAAACCCGCGCACAAATATCTCCAAAATCAGCAAAAACCGAGTGAAGTTTGAGAAAATATTACATGGATCGGGAAAATAGATGAGACAAGCTTTGATTTGCAACAAATTTGAGCGAATTTAGTGGACAAACAAGCAAGAACGACTAATTTGAAGTCTCGAGCAAACATGAACAAACAGCAGTAGCAGTCACGGTAAATGAAGAAGAAAGGGGTCTTATTTTGAAAACCCGACATCAGCGCCAAACAACGAATTTGTCGCCTGGGGACAGTGTTAAAACCTGGCGGCAGTGCATTCCAGCGTGCGCTGGTACGGCGATAGAATATGTGGCCCTCATAAATGACTATGTGGACCTTCTTGCAGCAATTTCGGGTTCCTTGATACGCCAGTTAGCCCCTATAAGCATTTGACATTATTAAGTAATCAGCTCGATTACAATCACAGTAGGTGATCAACCTGATAAAAGATCGTCTCACTTAGCTTTGAGTTCCTAAACATTGGCTCATCGCAAAGGCACCGACATAATGGTTCACAAGTAGCAAAAGACACTGACGTAATGGTTCACAAGTAGCAAAATGCGCCTATGTACTGGCACCGCGGAAATTTCAGCGAATATCACAACAATAAAGTTTAAGCGAGCTTTAAGGATCAACATGCGTTGGTCTTCAGTAATTTTCTTCGGAATAGTATCGTAACAACTGAAAATGGCTGCAAGTGGAGTTATCTTCGACGGCGTTCCTTAGCTTGCGGAGGGTTGTCACAAACAACTGAGGATGGCTTCAAGCGAAGTGATCTTCGACGACGTTCCCTAGGATGTGGAAGGTTGTTAGAAAATGAGGATGGCTTCAAGTGAAGTTATCTTCGATGGCGTTCCCTAGGATGTGGAAGGTTTTCAGAAAATAGGAGGTGATTTTAAGCGAGGTTATCGTCGATCATGTTCCCTAGGATGTGGAAGATGGTCATAAAACAACAGAAATTAAAGGCAGTTGCAGGCAGGGTAGTCTTCAGGCGGTATCCCCTAGCATGAGGAAGATCGTCAAACAAAATTGGTTACTCCAGAGATGTGTGCTTGACGGTGCAAGATACGCGTTTCTTAAATCTTTTATCTGTTTATCTAACGCTAGTTCGCAGGTATCGGTGTTACAAGAATGATTTAGGATTGCAGAACGTTCTAAATCATTCTCCGTCCCTATCGCTACTTTGACTTTTATTTTCGAAACTTTCGTTTCTCCAAAGTCAGTCAAAGTGGGGGCTTTTGTAGACACCCAAATGTGTCTCCCCAAAACCAAACCCAGTGATGAATATCTTTCATGTCATTTAATTATCGAACAAAGTGAAAGTGTGGAAAGTCTAATGATGAGGATGTTTTAATAAAAATATTTCTCTTTTTGTTTTCAAAAATATTTCTTTTCTTACTCTATTTATGAAAAATAGCCAGTCTAATTTGGTTTGGTCCAAGATAGGGGTCCAATAGTAGTTTAGTTGGATTGGGTTTAAAAAGAGCTTTCCAATGATATAAATTATAAGTCCAATTCCGATGAATTATAAGGAAGTTATGTATTAAATTAAATTAGGCCAATGATTTTTAATGTGGCCCAATGATTTAGAGGAGGGCCTATTAATTATTATTCCTAAAATGATTAGGATTGATTTTAGTTTTCTCGGAATATCTAGAAGGTTATTTATAATTCTAATAAGGTAAGGATTGATAATTATTTTTAAGATGTTTTATTTTGAATAAAATATATTAAATTTGATTTTAAATCTTCTTTGACGCATAATTACTTGTAACCAAATTTAAAGGTAATTACGCGTGTAAAAGCGCGTTATACTTTTGAACGAGTGTGAGACGACAGAGTCGTCGCCTGGCCCTAACCTTCGTCGCCTGGCGACTCGTCTGGCGCTAACTCCTGTCGTTTGCGACATGAGGTATTTAATTCTGAATATGATTTTCTCCGATCCCGTGCTATTTTTCTTATATATAGGGGTCGTATTTTCCTGTTTTCAAATCACCCAAAATTCTCTACATCTACTCTCTCTCTCTAAAAGCTAGAAGCTTTCTCTATCTATTCTTTTTCTAAACCTTTCCTCCCTCAAAATTCCTCACTCATAAGATCTAGAAACACCTAGCCAAGTTCAAAGTTTCCTTTGCCCCAGACGTGAAAGGTTTGATATTTCTGACGGTTTAGTTCTAAATCTTTATTTCAATTATTTAATAGAATTGTTTATTACTTTTCCTTGAAGTTACTAACGTGTGTATTTTGTTATTAGAAAGAGATACGAGGTATCGACGTAAGTACTTCAATTGCTTCATTATTCTTTTGATATAGAGACTTATGCCTAAATTATTTTGTTGTTTCCTAGTATCATGTTAGGATATTATATTGATTCCTAGTATCATGTTTAGGATTAACTAATATTTCTAATATTATTATGATGCTTCCTATTTCTTTCCTAATATCATGTAAGTATCATGTTAGGGCTAAAGCTTTGATCTTTTATCTTTAGTGACATGCTAGGGTTTGTTATTAATCTTGTTAGTATCATGCCTAGGATCTTGCTAATATTATTATGCTTTAGCATGATTTTAATTATGATTGTTGTTATTATGATTATGATGATAATTGTTATTATGTTGCTTGATTTTATTGTTATTGCTTGATCACACCTTTTATGCATGTTTAAAGGGAATATGTACTTGTAATCACGCTTAATAAAATAATTAATAATCTTGTTCAGGCTAATATGATTATAATTCAAGTGATCACCAATAACAGTTTTATTTGTGCATTAATATTCAACCAACATAGATTAAACAGGTTTAGGGTTAATTTATTGATCGCATGATATTTAGAAAGAGCACATAAATACGAGAAGAACAAAGTAGAGGCTTATTATTAGGGCAAGTTCAATCTCTTTTAGGATGGATTTGTTCCTTCATCCCCAAACTTCCAGTCATGGTTCCATACCTATTGGAGTTAATGATCTCCTGGATCGT